TATTCACTGCAGTTTTAGAGTTTGTGCTGGTGCTGCTAAAGTGAGAGGGGAAGGAAGAGCCATTTTTGAAAGACGTTTTGACAGAAGAAAGTGTCCAAATGTTTCCCCCAGATAATGGTTTGATTGTGGCTGGATTCACAAAGCTGCTGTATTAGAGAGATCAGAGAGAGAAAGAGACCAGAGCGAGAGACTAGAGAGAGAGAGACCAGAGAGAGTCCAGAGAGAGTCCAGAGAGAGACCAGAGAGAGTCCAGAAAGACCAGGGAGTGACCACAGAGAGACTAGAGAGAGAGACCATACAGAGAGAGACCAGAGAGCGAACAGAGAGAGAGACCAGAGAGAGACCAGAGAGCGACCAGCGAGAGACTAGGGAGGGAGAGAGACTAGAGAAATCCGAGAGACCAGGGAGGGTTTTTCTCAGACTTTTTACACTGGACACTGGCTGAAACTCACTGCATCTCGTCACTGCTCATTGTTGCCATGCAGCCATAATGTTAATACTAGACTCAAAGAAATTCCCAGAGCAGTCGTTTTGACGTCTTCATATTCAAATCAATGGAATTCTGGGAAAAAAAACCTGTAGTTTTTCCCTAATATTATGCATATTAATCGATTTATACAGTTTAAACATAATAAATGCTAGGTTTAAAACAGCAAATACAAATGGCGACGTTTTAATTTTACATTAAATTGAATGGATTATTTCATCAATATTATTACATAGAAATCAGTTAAATATAGATAGATACGGCCACAAAAATGTACATAAACTGAGTCAATACACTTTCCAAAAACAAACCGTCAAATTGACTGCTCTGGGAGTTAAAGTGTTAAAACCGTATATACACGTTTTTGAATGTGAAAATGATACAATTGCATAATCTTAATCATTATAATCTAACACAACATACATTATATCTTTCATTAACTAATATGCAGTCGCTTTGATGCGGGTCCATAATCCGGGGTTTACGCACGAAGATTCTGTCCAAATCCTTCCAAATAATTCCACATGTTTGGAAATCATCGATTTATCAAAAAAAAAAAATAAGTCATGTTTTTCTACGATGTATCACACCAATGTCTTAAAGTTTTTATATTCGGTTTGTAATCCAAGGGCTGAACTAAATTGCATTCAAACTGCCGTGGGGAAGAAGTCCCGCTGAACGTGCTCTGCGTGCCTCCACGAGCCCACAGAGAAGAGAAACCAAAGGAAAACACCGCGACCACAAGGGGGCGCCAAACCTCAGCGGCCAGCATGACTTTTGGACCACCTGTTTGATAGACTTTGATAATAAAGGCACGTCTACTGTAAACACTGCATGCAAGATACATCTGGACTAGTTCTGTGACATCACTGGTGTTAGAGAAAAGAGTCTTGTCTCATCCAGTCATAAAATTATACAGTTGTCATTGTGTGCAAATGTCGCTCGCCAAATATGAATAAAATGTACAGAAATGTCTCGTGTTTGTGTAAAAATTAAACAAATTACAAGTGACGTCTATAAAACCCCATTTCCACCAGCCCCACCTCTACTAACTATACTGCCTTTCTCTATTACAATGTAGTATCTGGTACAATATCATAGCAACTTACCCACAACAAACCAGTATCCATGGACATTCTTTGGTGACCTTGGCTTCTAGTGGCGCCAAGGCCAATCACTGTCAGTTAATGGTATCAAATAAATAAATAGATAAAAATGCTGTAGAATAGATTTGGGCTGGTGGCAACGGGGCTAATAACATTCCAGACGACTGCATACTTTAATATTAAAGCAGGGAGCTGTAAAACTATTGGTCAGTACCATGTGTCATTTTTGGCGCCACCATATTTCTATTTTCTTTATTTCTGTTACTTGTGCGAGTGGTTCTGGCTCCACTCTGCATCCGTTTCCCATCAAATTTACCTTGAAAGCGCATAGACATAACTAATGAGATCCACGTCACCAGTTCATCGCTCTCAAAACTTATCTTCTATCACTAGTTCTCAAACGAGCGTAATTTTGGCATCTGTCGCGTCTTCCGGCGATGTAGTTCCGTGTGTAGTCAATGTGATACAACAGCGCCATCTGCTGGGTAGTGAGTGTCCTCTCAGGTGCGCGTTGCTAGGACCAGTGAATCTGAATCAATGCATCTAAATAATAATAAAAGAATCATCATGCATTGGTTTTATATCACACTTTTTGGACTCTAAAAGACGCTGTCATTATAAATTCACTCCATACAATTAATGATTATTGTATGTTATTATCATATACTTTTTGCACAATTTAACCCTTGGGTCACATTGATCCTCCAGAGTGATCAAAAATGACCTTAAATCTTTTTCTTGAAACTGGAATTTGGTTAACTTCTCATAACTTGACCAGCTATGGATCATTCAGACCCTTTTAGAGACGAATTGAAGCTACTTTTCTTCTACTTTTAGTCATCTAGCCATCTACACATTTAGTCATTTTGACCCAAGGGTAGCACGGGGGCACAATCTTGCATTTTTGTCTAGTATAGAGAAAACACCTAAGTTACTATTTACTAAGAAGACATAATGCACCTTCCTAAACTCACACATAAAAATAAATGAACAAAAGACCCAGACAAAGTTGCGTTTTTGACTTTGTTTTTTTTACACATTTTCATAATTCTCCATGTTTTCTGGTGTACAGTCACATCTCTACAGTACATTCTCACCGTCTTTGGCTGTTCTCCCCTCGTCAATCCAGCACCCTCCCTCCCTTCCCCTCCCCCTCCCCCTCTTTCAGAATCCTCCTTTTTTTAATAAATATCTGGGTGTCGGGCCTCGCTCAGCAGGACCCGCACCTCGTGGTGAGACGCAGAGAGACGGCGCAAAGACGGGCAGAGCGCAGAGGTCCAGAAAGAAGTGACGAAAAACCGAGATACAGACGTATGACAAACGGGTGGAAACAACGGAACAAAACAAAAATAAACAAAAGAACAATACTGATTCCCTTTGTGTTACTGCAGCGTTCTGGTTGGTCCTTTGTTACTGTACAGTTTCCAGGCTAGGCGGGCGCTTGGCTAAATCTAACAAGTTTTGTGATCTGCTAAAAAAATCGAATGCAAAACGTGAAATGTACGCCTTGAAAGATTATCAGAGACAGAGTGCTTGAAGAGAGCTGCTTTAAGATTTTAAAGTGGCTGAGATGTAGCTTGTTGTAACTCGGGCTGTAGAGCTAATAGACAAAAGTTTTGATAATCTATACCAAAAGCTCAGAGAATATGGGACTTTTTAAGACATTTAACCAAAACAAAGCTAAAGTGATGCCCCGGGCGGATATCCCGATAGAGCCGACAGTTACACATGATTAATAACACATTTTACATTCATATCAGGGTCTAAAACCTCTTCTTAGCATGTTTCAGTCTACAGCCCTGTTTACACCAGCCCTACTTGGCCCTTCTCCACTCTACTCCAATTGAAAGCGTTTACACAGACTTTTTCTAGTACTTTTTCTGGTTCGATCCAGGCCGAGCTGGTTCTAAAATGTTCTATCTGACAGTGATTGGCAGCCAGAGTGATGCTGGGAATTTACATAGATACTGGTTTGTTGTGGGTAAGTTACAAGGATACGGTGCCAGATATGATAGAAACACAACCAGGTAGAGTAGAGTAGAGTCGGGCCAAGTGGGGCTGGTAGAAACAGGGCTTGAGTGTAGTTTTGAACCATCTCAAGGATCGATTGGATGCGACTAACTTTTTACAGCCCGACTTGTTTAAAAATACATTTAATGCTTACTACAATGTTGTTCGCAAATTGTGATAATTTCCATAGTTACGGACGGGTTTTTGACGACCACTATTTCTCTATTAGGCAAACGAGAGGCCTGGAGCTAGCAACAGAAGACGACGCGGATCACAGCCTGGATTCAGATCAAAATATGGAACAAATCAAAGCAGCGTTAAAGTCTGTATGGATCTAACTACATCTGTGACACCAGGAGCACAGGGACTGGCCTCCTGCTTTTCCCAGAGTCAGGACTAATCATGAAGAGGCAGCAGTCCAGATTTAAGCAGCTAAAATCCAGAACCGTCTTCCTGAGATTGTAAGACAGGCCATGTCCCGGCCAATGATTATGTCCAGTCTGTCTTATTTAGCTGTGCATGTGACTTTTTAACACAATATGTTTTATATGTATTTACAGTTTTTCCTATAGCCTATTTTTATTGTATTGATTTTGGCTTGTGAGGGTTAAACTGTATGAATTGGGCTTTATAAATACATTTTAATTGACTATATTATTAAGTTATCAGTCATTAATGGTTGTCTAGAGCAGGCGTCTTCCCCTCCGTAACTATGGAACTACTTTCTTCAAGCACTCGACGTATCCGTCTCTAATCTTTGGCCGCGTGTGTGACAGGACCCCGCAAACCGGCTCTTCCCCCGCCTTTAAAACGCACACATTTCAATATTATTATTACACTACCATTTTTTTCTATCATCTCAAAAGACATTCAGAAGTATTGTCGTTATTGCTCAGTCAATCGTGTCTGGTCCAGGCTCCGGAATCGCACCATAATCAGTTTACGGGGCTGTCAGAATATCAGAATAAATACTGAGAGTGGTTCCATAGACGAGGTTTTTTCATCTTTTCACACAAGATAGAAATCCCGATGGACGTTGATCGATTCGACTTTACATCTAAAACTGCGTGGAAAAAGTAGAGTACAGTGTTTGGGGTTCCCTCCCTTCAATCAGCAGGCAATTGTTCTCGGCGGAGCCACAAAACCGTCCGTCCCTTTTGTTTTTGAAATGTCGTCGGAAGAAGAAGTAGTAAGAAGTTTGCGATTGACAGAGATCGAGTTGGAGAAATGTTGTGATTATGGAAAAACTGTGGCGACCGGTGGAGATTTATTGCTGTGGTCCTTTGCGGCTTGTGTTAAAAGTTGTCCAAGGTCGACCAACGCTGTATTCAAGTGAGCCAGGACAGAAGGGGCTTGTGGGTAATGTAGTCTTTATGGGTCTGTAAAGGGGGGGGGGGTCAGGCGCTCTGGTCGGGTGGGTCTCCCTGCTGCACCTCTGGAAGGACAATGCCTCGATGGAGCTTTTCCAGAGACTGCTTCATCTGCAAAGAGAGAGAGAGAGAGAGAGAGAGAGAGAGAGAAAGGAAGAGTTGTTTAGCTACATTTTCGTTGTCTGTTTTTATTATTGTATAATATGGACTTTTTATGTGTCTGAAATATTAAAGATTAAATTAGAAATAATAAAGAAACAAGCAAAGAAAGAGAAAGAGTGAAAGTTAGAGATAGAAAGAAAAAGACAGAGAAACAGAGAGAGAAACAGAGAGACAGGGAGAGAGAGACACACACAGAGAGAGAGAGAGAGAGAAAGACAAAGATAGACAGAAACAGAGAGAGAGACAGACACAGAGACAGAGACAGAAAGAGAGAGAGAGAGAGAGAGAGAAAGACAAAGAGAGATAGACAGACAGAAACAAAGACAGAGAGAGAGAGAGAGACAGACACAGAGCCAGAAAGAGAGAGAGAGACAGAGCGACAGAGAAGACACAGCTCACTCGATAGCCAACCGACGCGCCAGCTCGGCCCGCGCCAGCCGCAGCGCCCGCGCCAGCGCGCCAGGATCCGCGGCATGCGCGCCAGCGGGCCCGCGGCGCCGCCGGGCGAGCCAGCGCCAGCAGGCCCCGCTTCACATAGCCCGCCCGCCGCGGGCAGGGCCCATCGCCCCGAGACCGAGCGACCGGAACGACAGAGACCAGCGCTCACAGCGAGCCGCATCAGAGCCAGCAACGGAGATCGACCGAGCCACAAGCTGACAGCGACCGAGACAGCCCCCGACCCGAGAGACAAGCGCGCCTGCGAACAGCGGAGACAGAGCCACAGGGCGCGCGCGTCGCATGACCCCGCGGGCCAAGCGCGAGCCGGAGCTCCCCCGCGCCCCCCGCCCGCGGCCCGCGCCCGCCTGGCGTACGCTGTCTGCAACGCACCGCGGAGCGTCCCCCTCAGCTCGGCCTCGAGCCGACAGCGGCGCGCGGTCCCGGCCGGCCCCGCCGCGCGCGCCACGCGGGCGGCCGCAGCTGCCCCGCGCCAAAAGCGCTCCCGCCGCCCGCCGCCCCGCCCCCGCCCCCCCCCCCCGCCCCGCCCCCGCCGCCCCCCCCCCGCCCCCCCCCCCGCCCCCCGCCCCCCCCCCCGCCCCGCCCGCCCCCCCGCCCCGCCCCCCCCCGCGCCCCCCGCCCGCGCCCCCCCCCGCCCCCCCCCCCCCAGCCCGCCCGCCCCGCCCCCCCCGCCAGCCGCCCCCCCCCGCCCCCCGCCCCCCGCCCCCGCCCGCGCCGCCCCCCCCCGCGCCCCCCCGCCGCCCGCCGCCCCCGCCCCCCGCCGCCCCCCCCCCCCCCCCGCCCCCCCCCGCCCCCGCCGCCCCCCCCCCCCCCCCGCCCCCCCCCGCCCCCGCCCCCCCCCCGCCGCCCCGCCCCCCCCGCCCCCCGCCCCCGCCCGCCCGCCCCCCCCGCCCGCCGCCCCCCCCCGCCCCCCCGCCCCCCCCCCCCCCGCGCCCCCGCCCCCGCCCGCCCCCCGCCCCCCCCCGCCCCCGCCCCCCGCCCGCCCCCCCCGCCCCGCCCCCCCCCCCCCCGCCCCCCCGCCCCCCCCGCCCCGCCCCGCCCCCCCCGCCCCCCCCCCCGCCCCCCCCGCCCCGCCCCCCCCCCCCGCCCCCCCCCGCCCCCCCCCCCCCCGCCCCCGCCCCCCCCCCCCGCCCCCCCCCGCCCCCCCCCCCCCCGCCCCGCCCCCCCGCCCCCCCCCGCCCCCCCCGCCCCCGCCCCCCGCCCCGCCCCCCCCCCCCCGCCCCCCCCCCGCCCGCCCCCCGCCCCCCCCCGCCCCCCGCCCCCGCCCCCCCCCCCGCCCCCCCGCCCCCCCGCCCCCCCCCCCCCCCCGCCCCGCCCCCCCCCCCCCCCCGCCCCCCCCCCCGCCCCCCCGCCCCCCCCCCCCGCCCCCCGCCCCCCCCCCCCGCCGCCCCCCCCCCCCCCCGCCCGCCCCGCCCCCCCGCCCCGCCCCCCGCCCCCCCCCGCCCCCCCCCGCCGCCCCCCCCGCCCCGCCCCCCCGCCCCCCGCCCCGCCCCCCGCCCCCCGCCCCCCCCGCCCCCCCCGCCCTCACCAGTGTTATTCATTTGATATTACTTGTCTTAGTAGATCTTTGATTATAAAATTTCTGGTTTTGTCTTTCACGTGCAGTTGTGAGTGACTTTGATTTGTCTTTGAGTACGTAACGTTTGAGGCGTGCTACTGCGCTGACTCACGGGACCAGGAGGAGAACTTGTTGAGCACGGTCACTGAAGACTTTTGGCAAGTCTGTTGTTTGCGTGATTCAACGTCCTGCATTTTTCTCACCTCTGGGTTCTCCTATTGGAAGTTCTATTGCCTCTTTTTTGTAAAAAACTGGGGCATGTGAGCCAGTTGGTTGACAATAATTCATTTATAGTTGTTCTCTCGATGCCATGATCAGCTGGGTTTTCATTTGTGGGTACATAAAACCATTGCTTTGCTGTGTATTGTTGCGATGTTCTGCACCCTATAGCAAACCCCAAAACGTGTGGAAGCGTCTTGCTTTCGTTACTTATGTACCACAGGGTGACTTTTGAGTCTGTCCAATAGAAACTCCTCTACATTGTCATAGAGTAGCTCCTCCCTTAGCATGTTGCTTACTGTGACCGATACTGCAGCTGCGGTCAACTCTAGCCTTGGGATCATGGTTCTTTTGTTGGAGAGACACATGCTTTGCCTATAATAAAGTTACAGTGAACATCCTTTGTTTTTGTTAATCAGTCTTAAGTAAGTGCAGTGTCCATATTCCTGTTGTGCTTGCGCGGAAAAGTGATGCAATTCTTTTTAAACTGCATTCCAAATGTTTTGGGACATAACATCTGTTTTTTGCAACTTTTTCAGATTACTCAAAAACTCTCCTTCCAGCATCTCCCACCGTGGCTTGAGATGTTCAGGTATAGGATCGTCCCCAGCTGTTCCTTGGCGACACATTTCTTGAAGGATTCTTTTGTCCATTGGCTCATATGGGGCAATGGTCCAAGCGGGTCTTATATTGCTGCGACCTGTGTTGACAGGATACCGCGGACGGGTTTTTCGGGGGTTGGTCCTTTAATGTGATATGGAATGTGAAGCAATCCTTTCTCTATGTTCAGTATAATCACAAGTGCTCTTTCAGTTTGTGTTTTTCTGAATGTTCAGTCCTTTGTTTTTGCTGTCTGTTGCATGTTTGAAACTGGAATGCTGTTTGTAGAACAAAACACTGTTATTAGGAGACGAATTTGTGATAAACCTCAGTCCACCTTTTGCACATAAACCACGTGCTTCCTTTGCCAGTTGTATGCTCATTCACTGTTTCAACACTTGTAACTCCATCATATACATAAAAGTCTCTTGCATAAAACTGTGAGAGATTTAGAGACTACTTGATCGGGTCATCATGCACAGTGTATACGGATAATAATCCACTTACGTACGTGCTATCAACAGCAAAACTAAATGCAACAGGAAGCCGATGGGTCGCTGAGCTTGCGGATTTTCACCTCACTATAAAGTACAGACCCGGACGCGAAAATGTGGACGCGGACAGTTTATCACGCATGCCAGTGGACATTGATAAAATTATGAAAGCGTGCACAATCGAGATGTCATCTCGTGCAGTCCAAGCCACTGTTCAAGTGATAGAAACAGACTCAAATGTGCAAAAGGCACTGGCTTTAACAAGTGAAATGAACAAAGATAAAAACCTCATTCCGATTCAAAGTGAAGAGATAAGCCAAGCTCAGCTAAACGACGCATGTATTGGTTCTGTTATAAATTATCTGAAGTCAGGCACAAAGCCTACTGGTCAAGAATATAAGTTATTGAGTGTGCCCACAAGAAGGCTGTTATCTGAATGGGAGAAGTTAACGCTGGACAAAGACAACATCTTACACCGTCAAACAACAGTAAGAAAACAGCTTGTGTTGCCAGATAAATACAGAGACACAGTTTTGAGAGCACTACATAACGAAATGGGACATCAGCAGTGGCGTTCCAAGGGTACCCCGGGGCCCCAGGCAAAAGAGTCCTTGGGGGCCCTGATACCGACCATATAACCACATAAAAAGGTTAATACTGCAGTAGATATAAATATTATTTATTTTGCATCATAAAGTTGAAACAGAATTGACAAAATACTAACAACAAAGATCAGCGGAACAACAATATTATGAAAACATAATTAACAACTAAACAATAAAGCTTATAGGTTCTCAACTCTGTGACAATACTTCTTTGTAGAACTTGCATATTATAGCAATAATCCTGTGGATTACTGTTTTCCAGAGCTGCTCCTCAAGGTGCAATAGATCCTGGTGTATTTGTTTTTAACCTTATCTGGAGCTCATGCCAACTTTTCATGTTATTTATATGGGTTTGGAATATTCATGCTCTTTTAAATGTGCAACAAGGTTTTTCCAGTTTTTAAACCCTCCTTTAGTTAGAGCATTATTGTCCTTTTTGCCAAATATTTTGCAAGCAAAGCAAAACGACCGCAAATCGGTCGATTTTGAATATACTAGCCATGTTCGCTTTATTTTTTCACCATTTCTCATGACCATGTAATAATTTTCCTTTGTGAATCTCCGAGGATTTTGTTCATTGCTTTGAGGAAAAACAATATCCGTCACCTGAAGAGGACCTTTTTTCACCAGGGAACTCTTTTCACCATCATTAAGAACATCAGGCCACTGTCCAGGATCAGAAGATGTCAATCTTATTGGTGTTGCTTTTTCTTGGGCTGTGGATGTCGTTTGAGCTGAAACCAATTAAAAAAACACATGAATTCTCAAAAGAAAAACACAATAACCATAAATAATCCTGATGTGATATCATTACTTGAACAAACACTATGTTTAGTCTCTTTTTACAGCCTTTACAATTACAATTGTTGCTAAAGATGGCTTGCTAAGTATGTCCATATTTACATTACTATTTATGTATTTTTAATTTACACATCTTCAAAATACAAACCAACTTAGATATTGATTTATTTTCAAGTATACCTCTTATATTTGTTTGAAATTATAGATATGGTAGATACTACAAAGGGCCATAGTGTGTAAAATTCAAGCATTTTTTTAACTAAATACATTATTGCACTAATATCATACCTGGAGTGGGTGCTTGTGGTTCTGTTTGGTCCTCTTGGTCAATGGAGGTAGGCGACGAAATGTTGACCATTGCAGTATGGGATATAGCTGACTGCTGCTCACTGGAGGAAGCGCTGCTGTCCAGGGCTGTAGAGGGGGCAGTAAACCTTGGCGTGGCAGTACTTGGGGCTGTAGTAGTGTGTGTAGCGGCAGACTGAGCTTAAAGATAAAGAGAAATCAAACATGGCATTAACGTCGTAATGTATTTTGATAAAATATCTTTAGAAGTAAGAATATATATAGATAAAGTACTTACAACTAGAAGCATGTTCCTGATTTGAAGAAGATGAGGGAACTAAACATTTTCTTAGCAATCCTGAGCAAAAGGGGAAAAATATATTATTTAGTAAGTAAAAATGCAACATCTATTAATTGTTTACATTAACATTAAAATGTAGACAATTTCTTATTTCTAACAATAAATGTACAAGCCTGGGGCCTGCCTGGCATACTGCACAGTCTACCATAGAAAATTAGTATTTTAAAAAGTATTTGGTGACGAAAAGCAATGAGAAATAAATTAGCATGTCTTTTTATAAACTTGTTCACTATACTCATGTTATAATTAATTAAAAACACTACCTGCTATCAAAGTGTATTAATCCTTCAAAACGCTAACAATAGCATGCTAAATGTTGCTGTGATGTGATCCGCAAACAAACAAGTTAGTTCCAAGAGCGTCATGTAGACTAGATGTCAGTCACTCACCGCTATCATGCTTTCTTTTCTCGTCTTCCTCTTTTTTGCGCTTTCGTTTATCGCTTCCAGAAGGATAACTTCTCTTCATTTGGTCGGACAACTTTGTTTTGCTTTGGGAGAAATAGCACGCTGCCTGCACGCTCCGCTCACCTCACCTCTGTCACTGACACATGTGGGGGGAGGGGCGAGAGGAGCGGGGCCCTATCAGGGGATTTGAGACGGGCGGTCAAATTGCAACTCGTCACTGCAGGTACCTGTTGTGGCCTGTACAAGTCGACCGCTTGTGTCAAATCAGTCGTCCCTCGGGGGCCCCTGCCGGTTTGGGGGCCCCAGGCAGCTGCCTGCCTTGCCTGTTGGCACGGGACGCCTCTGGACATCAGGGCATTGATCGGACAACATCACTCATCAGAGATAGATTTTTCTGGCCCCACATGCAAAAGCACATTGAACAATATGTTAATTGTTGCTCCTGTATAAAGAGCAAGAAACCAAGTCGTGCAACAAGAACACCATTGACGAGTATAGTTACATCTCAACCTTTTGAACTTGTATCCATAGATTTCCTTCATGTTGACAAGTGCTCTGGTGGCTATGAGTATATATTGGTGTTAATAGACCATTTCACAAGATACGCACAAGCTTACGCCACAACATCAAAATCAGGAAAGACGGTCGCAGATAAAATATTCAGTGATTATTTGCTCAAGTTTGGTTTCCCTGCACGTATACATCATGATCAAGGGGGCGAGTTTGAAAATCACCTTTTCGCACAACTTTCCAACCACAGTGGCATTACAAGCTCAAGAACGACCCCTTATCATCCCGAAGGAAACGGTCAAATCGAAAGATTTAATAGAACACTGTTACAAATGTTGAGAACGCTCACCGAAAAAGAAAAATCCAACTGGAAAGAGTCACTCAATAAAGTCATTTTCGCTTATAACTGTACAAGGAGCGAAGTAACAGGTTTCTCCCCATTCTACCTGTTATTTGGACGAGCACCACGACTGCCCATAGACATTCTTTTCAATGTGAGACAAGAAACAGGAACAAATGACCAAAAATTGGACATGAGAAAGTGGAAAAGTCAAATGCAAGAAGCTTATGAAATAGCAAGAGAAAAGTCCAAAAAGTCAGCAGAAAGAGGAAAAAGGAACGCTGATAACAAAGTGAGAAGTTCTGTCTTGGAAGAAGGAGACCGTGTCCTAGTAAGAAATATGACCCCTAGAGGTGGTACAGGAAAATTGCGCAACCATTGGGAAGAACAAATCTATAAAGTAGTGCGACAAGTGAACACAGATCTTCCTATTTATGAAGTTGTGCCAGAACAAGGAAAGAACAGAGACAGTAAAATATTACATCGCAATCTACTCCTACCTTGTAACCACTTACCACTTGAGATACCTCTGAAAATGTTACGCCCCTGAAATAAGGAGAAAACCACGAGAGTGATTTGGGTGCGTTTCCCTCTTGCAGGAGTTTAATACAAGTCTTATAAACAAATACGAATATGATACAATTACAACAATTGGTCTCTTACCTGAAATAAAGAGAAAACCACGAGAGTGATTTGGGTGCGTTTCCCTCTTGCAGGAGTTTAATACAAGTGAGGAAAGAGCGCGAACCCCCCCCCCCCTATCTGTCGGTGTGGGCAAAACCAATCGCTCCATTGTTGTTCAGGCTTACTAGTCGATAACAATCTTTTCTGTAAAAACTCAAAATGTAAATACTGAATTAACTGTAGATATTTTAACATACCTTTAACCATATTTATCTTATCTTTAAATATTATGTAAATTATGAAATAACTATTTATTGCAAATCTCTTTTTCTGTATATATATCTATTACATTGTTTTTATCACTATTACACAACCCCATGGAGCGGGACCAGACACCACATCGGCCCCGTAGAGAGAGACGTCCACCGAGGGTATTCACGTACAATGAACTAGGTATGCCGTCTTGTTGCAGTATCCAACGAGCAGCTTACCAGTACCAGCCCTGTGGCCTACAAGCAACAGATACTTCTTGGAGGTACCAGGACATTTATTACTACTACAATTACCAGCCATTGTATTGATGCATAATGATACTATTAATACATTTCTTTGTATTTGGTGATTTGAAATCATAACAAAGACTGTTTCTTTGAGAACTTTCACAAAATGAACTGTTTTACAACAGAGGTAAATCACTCACGAGTAATACTCCAGTGATCAGCTGAGACCAAAGACATTGAGAATGTGGTACAGTGAAGTTGGGATGTTAGGGGGTAATCCCCTTTTAGAAAACTGTATGAAGACGTGGTACGATACGAAGATTTACGAGTGAATGTTATGTTTTAGAAGACCATTTTGAGACATACTGTCCTTTGGTAATGATTGTAATTGAGAATATATAATGCTTTTGCATTGAGATCCTGCTAATGGTTTAACCTAAAATGTGTATATGGTTCAGTAAGTACGTTCAATTGAGACTTTTGAAGTTACCTTTATTTGTGTTTGAGTAAGATGTCGGGACGCCATCTAATTTCCAAGGGGTGTGTGTAATAGTGATAAAAACAATGTAATAGATATATATACAGAAAAAAAGATTCGCAATAAATAGTTATTTCATAATTTACATAATATTTAAAGATAAGATAAATATGGTTAAAGGTATGTTAAAATATCTACAGTTAATTCAGTATTTACATTTTGAGTTTTTACAGAAAAGATTGTTATCGACTAGTAAGCCTGAACAACAATGGAGCGATTGGTTTTGCCCACACCGACAGATAGGGGGGGGGGGTCGCGCTCTTTCCTCACTTGTATTAAACTCCTGCAAGAGGGAAACGCACCCAAATCACTCTCGTGGTTTTCTCTTTATTTCAGGTAAGAGACCAATTGTTGTAATTGTATCATATTCGTATTTGTTTATAAGACTTGTATTAAACTCCTGCAAGAGGGAAACGCACCCAAATCACTCTCGTGGTTTTCTCCTTATTTCAGGGGCGTAACATACGCATGTTAATCAGTGGACCCCTTCCAAATGCAAATGGAAAGATCGAGAAGTTTAGCCGTCTGTACCAGTTAAATACATTTCTATACAATGAGTGTTCATCTGTTCTGGAATAGGCTCGAGCTTTTTGAAGGGAAAGGCCCACATCTGATCAAATACGGAGTAAAAGTGTTGATGGATAACTTTGCATCTGCCTTAAGACCTGAGCCTGCGCAGCGCGTGCAGCCGTTGAAAGAGAGGAAGAAGCAAAGGGCATGGCCCTCTCCACGGAACCCAGAGGTCTCGGCACCTCCACTGCCTCAAAAGAACTCAACACGTCCACCAGCATCATCATCAGCAGCGGATACAGCACCAGCAGCAGCAGCAGCGGCTGCCACAGCGTCATCAGCGCCTTCAGCATCAGCGCCACCAGCACCAGCTGTGGCTGCTGCATCATCTTCAGCAGCACCTTCCCCACCTACAGCTCCCGTGAAGCCCCCCCCATTGCTCCAGGCTACAGACAGGCCTGTACTGGGGGCCTCTCAACCACCTCCGTCTCCACCAAAGACTCCCTCATCACCTTCCATGGACCCGGTTTGGGTCCCCCCCCCGCCACATCCACTCCATCTAAGGAACATGAGGACGACCTTTCCCTGTGTTTTCCATCACTATTGGATTTACCGGAACACTCGGCAGGCATGATAAGATTGGCGATGAAGACTATTCCTCTCACACCCACTGTAGCCAGATCAAGAGTCCTATCTAACATTCATAACTACTCCCCATACGTACCTCCAAAGCCACCTAGGGCGCCCAACTCAAATTCTCCCACAAAATCCACCCGTCCCTCCCCTAACCCCATTTGTTCTTATAATCTTGATCTTATGTTCATGGCTGAAACATGGCTTGACCAAAATACAGGAAATGCATATTTAATAGAAGCATGGTCCGTGTACTTTTGCATTCAATACATTTTCTATTTTTGAAAGAAAATTGAAAATTGAAAAAAGGCTATTTTGCACTTTCAGGCACACGGCAATATACAAAAATGACCATGTTGGCTTTTTTCATTTCATATAAGACATATATATTGTAATAACCAGATTTGGAAACTATAAAATGCAATAATTAACCTTTTTTATTGTGCATTTAATACATTTCGGCGTCAAATCGATTACCCGGAAGTGAAACAAATTTGTTTACTTCAGCCCGGGACCCAGAGACTGTAGTGGGCTGGTAATTAGTGATAATAACGGAGGACATAAATCCTGTGCGAATGCGCCATGTCTGTAATTTGCCGCAAATGACCTCCTGTATTGTCCAAACACCGACGTCCTGTGATAATACTTATTCTGCGAATCTGCATGTCAGTGATTGTGATTCCTAATACCGCTTTCTCTACTTTCTGCGTTGTTTTTGTCAGTGAGCAGAAGAGTCCGTATTGGCTGTGAGCACAGCTGCAGAGTCGCGGCTGCTGCTGTCTCTGTGAGGTCTATGGAGAAGTGTAGAGGACAATGTAATGTGTTCACTGACATAAAATGATCAGATTGCATTTGTACGTTCACTTTGCACTTTGTCATAGTACAGTACAGACGTGTTGCTTGTCGGCTCGCACGTTTGTCTCATGGATCTATAATAATAACGGCTTTTTCAGCAGAGTATGTGGTGCCTTCATGGGTAGTCCGTACAAAAGGCATTGTTAAACATTACAGACAGCACCGTGTAGATTTATTAATCCATGACTGTAAAGCAGTAAAATCCACATGTATGCGTTTGTCCTCATGGTCTCTCTGGCTGCTGTGGTCAGACGCCAGTCTATATGAACTGCGTGAAGCGGAGAGAGCGGTGAGATGTCAGAGAAAATATAGTAATTTATAGACATTGCTTATCCCGTGTGAATGCACTGCAAGATCTCACACCTCCTTCGCGATTATCACACATTACCAGAGGTCCACAGGTAATACTAATCCCGTGCGAATAGGGCTGAAGTAAAGAAAAACTAGTTTCACTTCCGGGTAATCGATTGACGCCGAAATCTATTAAATACAAAATAAAAAAGGTTAATTATCGTATTTTCTAGTTCCCAAATCCGGTTATTATTTGCTAAATGTCTTATAAGAAATGAAAAATCCAAAATGGTAATTTTTGTATATTGTCGTGTGCCTGAAACTGCAAAATAGCCTTTTTTCAATTTTCCTTTCAACATAGAAAATGTATTGAACGCAAAAGTACACGGACCAAGCATCACCACCAAATTTCAAATTTGAATCTGAAATACGGAAAAACAAAAAGGGGGGTGGCTTAGCTGCCATTTTCAGAGACCACTTTGTCTCCCATAGTTTGTCATTTGAATATGTGTCTTTTAAAATACAACAAAAACAATCTCCTCCAGTACTCTTCATTGTCCTATACAAGCCACCGCAGTCATGTCACAGTTTTATTGATAATTTTACCGAGTTGCTTTCAGTTGTATGCACAGATTTTGATAGTTTAGTTATTACAGGTGATTTTAATATTCATGTGGATAATGTTGATGACAGAAATGCAAAAGAGCTGAGTTCTTTACTTGATACCTTTGGTCTCACTCAGCACGTGAGTGGCCCCACTCACAGCAGAGGGCACACTCTAGACCTGTTAGTTACTAAGGGGGTGAATATTTCAAATGTAAACGTGGTCAATGTTGCGCTTTCGGATAATTTCTGTGTATTTTTTTACATGTGTTTCACTAACAAACCACCAGTGGACTCTGCAACTGTTCGAATAAGACACATAAATAAAACGAGTCAACTATTTATGGGATGATAAACTTTGAAAATGCATCGTTTTCTACTGTAGATGAACTGTTTAACTCTGTCACCTCTAGTGTTTTGAATGTTCTGGATACCGTTGCCCCTGTGAAGGTTAAAATAGTGAAAAATAAGCAGAAGGCGTCGTGGGCTAAAGCAGACTCTGTCAGGGCACAAAAGAGAAAGTGCCGGAGGGCCGAGCGGAAGTGGCACAAGTCCAACGAGATCTTCAAAGATAAGTTGTGCGAGTTTAACCGGGTGCTACGTAGTACGAGAGAAAGGTATTTTTCTGAAATGATTGAAGGCTGCAGCAACAATCTGCATGTTCTGTTCTCAACAGTTAATAGATTAACAAACCCCCCTGTTCAGCTTCCATTAGAGGTTACTTCCAAACGTAAATGCAATGAGTTTGCACACTTTTTCAATGACAAGGTTCAAGGCATCAAAAACACCATTGTCTCCAATCCACAGATAACCATCCAACAGCCAGAAAGGCTCTTTGAGCTAACTCACTTTGCACCTGTAGATGATAAAAATGTCCAAGAGATAATCTCCAGTGTGAGCTCCTCCACATGCAGCCTGGATGTACTACCCACTAGATTTCTGAAGTCTGTTCTGAGCAGTCTGTTACCTTCACTCACACAGATAGTAAACATGTCCCTTCATTCTGGAATATTCCCAAAGGCCCTGAAAACAGCAGTCATCAGGCCCCTGCTAAAAAAAGAGCAGTCTGGATGCCACTGTACTTAACAAATATCGTCCCATCTCAAATCTGCCATTTATGGGGAAAGTCCTTGAGAAAGTGGTCTACCTACAGCTTACTAGATTTCTTATAATCAACAACTCATTTGATATGTTTCAGTCCGACTTTAGACCCCACCACAGCACTGAGACTGCTCTTGTCAAGGTTACAAACGATATCCGGCTGAACACTGACACAGGCCAAGTCTCAATCTTAATCCTGTTAGATCTGAGTGCTGCCTTTGACACAGTCGACCATGAGATCCTCTTACAGAGACTAGAGGACTGGGTTGGCGTTGCTGGCACCGCCCTAAGTTGGTTTAGGTCTTACCTTGAAGACAGGAAGTACTTTGTGGAGATTGGAAACTGTGTCTCAGATCACATGGCCCTGACCTGTGGAGTACCACAGGGGTCGATCCTGGGACCTCTTCTGTTCAATCTCTACATGCTGCCGTTAGGTCAGTTAATACGCAGAAACAAAGTGTCCTATCACAACTATGCAGACGACACTCAGATCTATGTCTCACTGACTGCAGGAGAACATGGACCAGTGGACTCACTCCTTCACTGTCTCCAACAGATCAGTGAGTGGATGCAAAACAACTTCCTTCAGCTAAACGCAGACAAAACTGAAATGATTGTCTTTGGTCCCCAGAAACAAAGAGAGAGCGTCATCTGTCACCTCCAGTCTCTCTCCCTAAAACCTTCAAACAAGGTCAGAAATCTAGGGGTAATACTGGACTCAGACTTAAATTTTAATAGCCACATTAAATCAGTAACATCAGCAGCTTTTTACCATCTAAAAAACATTGCCAGGATCAAAAACATAGTGTCTAAAGCAGACTTGGAGATTCTTATCCATGCATTTGTCTCCAGTAGGTTAGACTACTGCAATGGCCTGCTCACAGGTCTGTCCAAACAGGCTGTAAAACAGCTGCAGTACATTCAAAATGCAGCAGCTCGAGTCCTGACTAGAACCAGGAAGTACGACCACATTAGTCCAGTTCTCAGGTCTCTGCACTGGCTTCCTGTGGCTCAGAGAATAGACTTTAAAACAGCTCTGCTTGTGTACAAGTCTCCCCATGGCCTCGCACCAAAATATATTAGTGACATGTTAGTCCCATATGAACCAGCCCGGACTCTGAGGAGCACAGGGACTGGACTCCTGTTAGTGTCCAGAGTCAGAACTAAACATGGGGAGGCAGCTTTTCAGATTCATGCTGCTAAAATCTGGAACAATCTTCCTGAAGATGTGAGACAGGCCTCCTCTCTGACAATGTTTAAAACCAGGTTAAAGACAGTTCTGTTTAGCTGTGCATACAACTGAGGGATTTTATATTTTTATCTTTTTTTTTAATGTTCTGTGATTATTTATGATTTTAATGCTTTCTTGTTTTGTTCAGCACTTTGAGTTGCCTTGTGTATGAATTGTGCTATACAAATAAACTTGCCTTGCCTAGCTTCACGCGGCTGTATTATAACAGCAGTTACAGAAAAAAATAAGTATGCTAAAAAGTTAGATAAGTGGGAAGGAGAGGGGGAGCGATGGAACTCTGCAGCTGGCTCCCAGTATAATAATTATATGCGATTAAAATGTGATTAATTAATTACAAAGCCTCTAATTAATTAGATTTTTTTTTTTTAATCGAGTCCCAGCCCTAATTAGAACTAATAAAATTACTTATTTTATATCAACATTTAAGGCCAGGAGGTCAGTTTAATAATTCTTAACATTTGTAATTCAGTTAGAGTTCCAGACTATCCCTTTAATGGTCTCTTATTACGAAGGAATCTTTATTTCCCTCAGTGTGAAGACCTTCTCGTGTCTTCAGTAGATTCTATGTTGATACGGTTTCTTTACAAAGTTCCACATAACCACAGTCTTTGCTCTGATGAAGGACGAAACTCAGCACCGTCCTAAGAATATGTGGTTTAAGTCTCACCTCTGCTCTTCAGGACCATCTTCACTGAAGTTAAGAGGAGGAAGAACCATCGACGCAACACTTTTCAGGGACTGAGAGCTGGGAGCAGGTCCAGGTCTAGGTTTAGACCCGGGGCCAGATCCTTGTGGCTCCATGTTGCAGAGACTGGAATCAGAACAAGAGTCACTAACTTTGTTATATCACATTTACAGTTTCTGAACGTGACTTTTCGTCTGATTGGATTCCACACTCGTCTTCTTGTCATACCGGATTTGGTCAAAATATCTAATTGAGGGTTTTCTGACTTTCAAATTGTGGTGAGGGGGCGACAGTTGCTCAGTTGGTCTTTGGACCTAATGGTCGTGACCCACCACGACCCATGTTATCTGCTCCCTCTGAGGTCTGCTGTCGTTGTGTCCCTGGGCAAGACACTTAACCCCACATTGCCTGAGGCCCCCGCTGAAACACCAAGGCCATCTCGTTGATGACGGAGAAGCCATCATCCTGTGGCCTCACCTCCTGCAGGAGGATCAGTGATGTGTGACCCAGAAATGGATTAATGAAGGGAAAGATTTTTTTTTTGACTTCTCCGGTGCTTTCAACACCATCAAACCGGCACTGCTGCAGGGGAAGATGGAGGACGTGGGAGTGGACAGTAGCCTCATTGCATGGACCATCAACTACCTCTCAGACAGACCACAGTACGTGCGGCTGCGCAGCTGTGAGTCTGAGGTGGTAGTCTGCAGCACTGGGGCCCCTCAGGGCACTGTCCTCTCACAGTTTCTCTTCACCATCTACACTTCAGACTTCACACACGACACACACAGCTGTCACCTGCAGAAGTTCTCAGACAACTCCGCCCTCTCGTGGGTTGTGTGTCGGCAGGGGACGAACTGGAGAGCGGTCGGTTATCAAGGACTTTGTCAAATGGTGTGAGCGCTTGTGCTTGAACACCAGTCATCGATTTCAGGAGAAAACCACTTTCCCACACGCTGCTGAACATCCAGGGGGAGGACATTGAGCTGGTGGACAGCTTCAAGTACCTGGGTGTTCACATTGACAATAAACTGGACTGGTCTCATAACACTAACACCCTGCACAAGAAGGGCCAAAGTCGCGTCTTCCTTCTGAGGAGGCTGAGGTCCTTCGGAGTGAGCAGGCCTCTGCTCAGGACTTTTTATGACTCTGTGGTAGCTTTTGCCATTTACTACGCTGCCGTGTGCTGGGCCGTGGGCAGCACAGAGCGGGACAGAAACAGACTGAACAAGCTGGTCAGGAGGAGCTGAGGGACAGGAGGCCACTGGCCTCTGTGGAGGAGGTGAGGGACAGGAAGGTGCTAGTCAAAGCCACCTCCATCATGAACAACACCTCCCACTGCACAGGACTGTAGAGGAGCTGAGGACGACTGAGACACCCTCAGACACCTACCGCAGGGCCTTTATCCCCACCGCTGTCAGACTGCACAACAAGTCACTGTATTAAGACCAGTGTTGGGTGTTTATCGAAATACAACTGTAACGAAAATACAAAAAGTAACAAAATTACAATTTGAGTAACGTAGTAGTGTAACGCGTTACTATGAAAATACATTTTATTATATTACAGCTACTACCAAAATACTTCGTTACTGGCGGCACCGGCCTCTGGAAAGCAGCAGAAAGCTGTACTACCGCAGCGTGCGTTTGTAAAGCAACATGGCAGAGCCAGAGGAGAGGAATTAGTTTCAATTGTAAGTTTTGTAATGTGCTTTGTTTGATCAATGGATAAAAATAAATGCAATGTTATTTAAATGGCACCTTGGCCGGTCTTATTTACCTGTGTGCTGCGGGACAGTTCCCTAAATTTAATACTAATACTAACATATAATACTAATACTAAAATAGGGTGCAGTTGTTAATCTACTTAGAAGTTATCCGAAAATTACAACCAGCTTAAGCTTGGTACCATGACAAACAAAAAAGTAATGCAATAGTTACTTTTACTGGTAACTAGTTACTTTTATAGTGCAGTAACTAAGTTAGTAACTATATTACTTTTTGGGAGCAGTAACTAGTTACTGTAACTAATTACTTTTTCAAAGTAACTTACCCAACACTGATTAAGACTGAAAAACCTGCACTACTTATTGACACCGTTTCTTGATTGCCACTTTTTATTGTACTTAATATATCCTGCATTTAACATGCACAATCTGAGTGATTCTATCCATGCCAGATGTGACATGTAAATTTCTCCTGTGTGAGATCAATAAAGTCTATCTTATCTTATGACAGATTTGTTATTGAAAGGAGGATTTGGTTGGACCTGTGGACCAGTCCAAGTCTTTGCGTTTAAATCATGCAACTGCATTACTGCAGGTGTTCAATTCAATTCAATATTTTTTTTGTAAATTGTTGTAAATGAGCTGTTTTCTGTTCTATTCACATCCATCAGGAAGGCTGACCAGGACACAAAAAGCAGGCTTGCTTTTTATTTTAAGAGTCTAGGATCATAGGTCAGATGGACATATATGGTAAAGGTAAATGTTAGTATTTAACCCAGTTTAGTTTTCCATTCTGGGTCTTCTGGCGTTGAGCCTGAATCAGAGAGGGACCCAGGCAGAAGAGCTCTTTGCCTGAATTGAACTGAATGTATTCAGATTATGTCATTAAACTCCTTTTAATCATAACTCAGAGTTCATTCCTTCTCCATCACTATCCATTGTGCAGGAAACCCTGTCTTCAAAGATAAGGAGACACTACAAAATCACAACAACAGTTATCTCAAAGTTGTTGATTCACCAACACAGATCAGAGAATCAAACATTTCAAACACAGGAAAGGCATTGATAAAAACACAGAGCCATTGGTTCATAAGGGGCAGATGATCAATGTTCATAAATTTGAATAATTGTCCTTAAATGTCCTGGATCATCACCTCTGTTCAACCCACAGGCGTCAAACACGAGGCCCGAGGGTCAAACACGAGGCCCGAGGGTCAAATCCGGCCGCTGGACCATCTTTAGTGGCCCCTGAATGGTCTTTCAATCATTATGATTCACTTGCAGCATTGATTGTTCATCGTTTACTATGGCAATTATGGCATGTTATACTATTATTTTCCAAAAAAACAACCATTCAATTTATCTCAGTTCTCACACAAACGGTAACTGAACTTATTTTGTTCAGAATAAAAAAACAAAAGTAAGATCCAAATTCTCTTCATTGAAGAAAATAATTTTGTCAAATGCCTTTATAATGTAAACAAATTTCTTTATATTTCTAGAAGAAAACAAAACTACTTTTATAGTTTGGGCCCCTGACAACCCTGGCTTTCACCTCGGACACTCACTCAGAATATGTTAGAAAACATATATACCGTGTCCTCTACACTCTCAGAAACATGTCTGAGGAAAGGGACTAGTTGTTTACTTTTGAATGCACTGGAAACGGCAGCAAGTCCCAAGTAGCTCCGAAACAGTTATGTGCTTTACAATTGTTATTTTTCTTTTTAAAACTTTTTTCTATTCTACCTGAGATGTTGCTGCAGTACAGTGTTCATGGTTTTACACTGGTCCAGACCAGAGCAGAAAGGATTCATGGTCTGGTCCGCTGCGCTCGCCCTTTCTGCTCCCCTCCCCACTACTGAACTGAACTTGAAACTTGATCCAAAATAAAATGACACTCCAGTACAAACTGCGCTACTTATTCTTCAAAAAGACGTACATTCCAATGCACGGCATGGATATGGGTTGAATTTCCCTAATGATTAAAAAATACAATGTGAGGTGGTCCAGCTTTAAACAGTATTCATCAACTGTAGAGAGTGTGGGATCCTCACTGACCGCTGGACGAATTCATGATGAAGATCCAACAGAATTAAACTAGGACTAAAGGAGTTCTGTTCATCAGTGTGAAGACCCGCTCCTCGTGTCTTCAGTTGATTCTACATTCATCCTGAGTTCAAATAATTTGACCAACACTGGTTTTAAGTCTCACCTCTGCTCTGCAGGAGGATCTTCACTAAATGCAGGACTTACATCCCTGGACTGGTCACTTTTCAGAGACACAGAGCTGGGAGCAGGTCCAGGTCTGGGTTCAGGTTCAGGTTTAGATCTTTGAGGCTCCATTTTGCAGAGGCTGGAATCAGAACAAGAGTCCATGAGAAGACCTTTCTCCCACAGGTTTTGAATTGATTAGTATTAAGTAAGGTTACTAGTTTTCCAACTGCAATTTCATTTCTATGGTCACATGTCGTCCTCACATTACACTGTTACACTTAATCTGTTCTTCACTCTGTTTCATTCACATTCAACACAGACGTTCTACACAAATCCAAACAGAACTAAACTAGTTTGAAGTGAACAGGCAGAAGTCAGTCTCCCAAAGGATCTTCTCTTTTGGTTCCTGAAGGGAACAAGTGCAAACAAGTGTAGACTGTTCAATAAAACAGGTTTGATCCAGTTTGATACATTATATATGAGACAGTGTTATCGACGTAAACACACGTTTACACTGAAGGACACGTCACTGTTATTTCAATGTGAATGATCAGAAATACTCACGTCAGCCTGAACTCTGCTTTGGAAACGTGGAACTGCTTTCAACAGTGACTTAGGTTTTACTCCAAATACTGAACATTTATTCAAATACGCTGTAGCAGGTTCATCTTAAATACAGAAACATGTGAAGACTGTCTCTCTGTCAACGACAGCTCAAGACCTGCACTTTCATAATTACTTTTAACAATAGATTAAAACAATTTAACTTCCCAACTTCTTAAACCGTGCAGGACCGTCTTAAGAACATGTGTTTTAAGTCTCACCTCTCCTCTTCAGGACGATCCTCTCTAAAGTCTGGGGGAAAGGCTGTGGAGTGGTCCCTTTTCAGAGACACAGAGCTGGGAGCAGGTCTGAGTCCAGGTTCAGTCTTGGGGTCAGATCCTCGTGGCTCCATGTTGTAGAAGCTGGAATCAGAACAAGAATTCATGAGAAGACTTTTCCTCCACAGATTTTGGATTTGATTGGACGTCAGACTTGTGTTCTGCAGCTCGTGACCCTGTACTGTGTGATTTCCAGGACCAGTTGTCCCAGTTTTGCCGAGACAGTCCCAGTTCTGAGCCTTTTGTCCCAGGAGATGCATCCAAAACTCACTGCTCTCTCTCTCTCTTTCTCTGCTTCTAAAGAGTTTGAGCCAAAACTTAGAGATTTTTTCAAATCCATGTGTGTCTCAGCTCTTTATCAGAGGATTTAAAACATATCAGAAAACTGCAAAAAGACGACCAGGTGAGACACAGCAAGCCCTGCCCCCTTTCCCACACAGAGCAGCAGCAGGATCTGATCAAACATGAGAGAAATATGAAGAAGCTCAAGTGCATTTGAACCACAGACAGTTCTGTTTTAATCATGGCTGTTTGGGAATAATTGCATACAATATATAACATGGAACCAAATAGAAAACTGTTTAAATATATCCCTTCAATTGTGTTGTAGGTTTTCTTGCGCAGGGTCCGTCAGCAGAGAGAACCTTCTAAACAGATGCTCCTATAGCATGAAAGATGGCCGACAATGCAGCTGCCGGTCACAACTCTGCTCCAGTTTTCAAACGCTCTCGCTTGAAACCAGAGATATACAAAACAACTGATGGGAAAACTATTGTTGAAGATGAACTGCTCAATTTCCTTTGTGTAAAAATGAAGATTATGAGCCAGGATGAGATTCTATTCTGGCTATTAACAAAAATGGAGCAGATGGCCGCAGAAGTTGGCGCTTTAAAGCAAATTATGAATTCACAAGTCAGCATTATTAGTGATCTGCGCATTGCTGCGAGTGGGATCTGCAACCGGGTGTGCTCCCTGGAGCGGGAGCGCAATGAGCGGGCCTGGCCCTGTCACGACGCAAGCTATGCCTCTTGTGTCTGCTGTGAAAGAGGTCCTGACCCATGGGGAGCAAAGTACGGCGGAGACAGCGACTCCGACAGTACCGGCTCTGGAGGTGGATGCAGGGACCGCTGCGGTGAGGAGTTTACTGGGGCAACAGTCGCCAAAGTGGAGTAAAGTTGTGAAGAGGAGCCGGCGCGCAATAACCGATGAAGCTAATGCAGTACGCACGGGACAGGGGAGGAAGCCACGGGCCACCAAGCCTATTGTTGGCACTGGGACTGTGGGCAGCATCCGAACCATACAGACCAAACTGGTGAGTGTGTTTGCTTCTCCATTTTCACCTGATCTGGAGGATATAACATTAGCGGACTATTTAAAGAACAAACTCAACCGGGATGTATCATGCCAAAAGATTCAGTTCATTTAAAATATCTGCGGAGTGTAATGACGTGAATGAGATTTATGACCCTGATCTGTGGCGAGTGGGTGCACTCGTTCGGCGGTACTATGAGCCGCGTCGTGTGGGGTACAACAGGGGTGCGCTAGGCGCAGGTGACCCCGCGGGCAGTGCACGCAATGGCACCGCTGTGGTACCCTAAAATGCAGCTATGGATTTACGTCTTCTATAACTGTCGGGGCCTGCGGCTTGGAAACAGTGCTGCAGATAAAGCTCGTCGCTTGGTTGTCAATGGACTTTTACAAAATTGCGACATACTGTGTTTGCAAGAGACTTTTTTTTATCTCAACAAGACTTGCAAAAGCTGAATTCGTTTAATGAGTATTTTATTTTATTTTATTATCAACACTTTTTTTGCTTTTGAATTCTATAAACTGTAAACAAAAAAGTATTCAGTGTAAATAAATTCAATGTTTTAAAATTCAGTGTCAAAAAATTCAATGTTGAAAAAAATTCAGTGTCCAAAAATTGGTCGCATTTTTTTTCGCTGCTTGAAATGTCATGCTTTAGTTCCGGGTAAATCAAGACAGAAGCAATCGATCGGCCAATCCTCAATAGATGTAGCCGGGGCCAGAACACGACTTTGGCTTTATCCGAATGTCCACACTATATCGTGCGGGACTATTGTGAGTGAGTGAGTGGACTCATTCTGATGGCGATTCGGACGCTGCACACTATTATCAGGCCGTGCTGTTGTACGTGAGCGTCCCGCTGTAGCGTGGATCACGGAGAGAGGAGCGGCCATGATGAGGTAAAGGTAAAAGTTGAATTTACGTTTTAATTAGGACATAATTTAATTTGCCTGAAGCCCTCACTGAAAGATCAAAGCTCCTGTGGACTCACCACCTGCAGGAGAATCAGTGAGGGGCTGGTGCTCTGTAGACTGGGTGCAGCTCTGACTGCCACCCCCCCGACCCAGAAATGGATTAAGGGGAAGAAAATGGATGGATGGATGGATGGATGTATTTACATTGAAGGTGGGAAATACCCCCTTCTATTGTTATATCAGAGGTCTGTTTGGGGATTAAACAGATTTTCTTTGGACCTTTTCTCCAGCCTTGAGCTCCATTGCTAACACGCTAACCACGGGTGTAGAGCTGCGCTGATGCCCAGAATGGAGCGTCATGCGCTGGGAGTCATTTTGAGAGCTCCCTTATGCTAACAGTCTTAACTGTGGAAGTAATTATGAAAACCCAAAAAGGCGGCTTTTGTATCATACTTTCTCTGTTATAACAATTGTTTTAAGAGTAATCATTAGTCTTAAAAATGTGATATTTCATGTAAATAATGCATGTGTTTAGTGCGATTGATGGATTTGCTATGGCCCTCGTTTGTGCATCACTTTGTTGTAAAGTAATTTGTATTAAGTACAAACGTGATTATGTGCAGGGGGACATCTGTGAACATGAAGCTGGACACAGAAGACGCGTGGACTTGAACTTACAGACCAGATTTAAGGTCATGAGTACTTACTTTTTGAGCACAATCTCTTGAAATCCAACAGACCTGATCATGTCAGAGTTAATGGCTTAAATGTATTTAAGATTAGAAGTACTTAAATACAAGCTATGAAACATGTTTCTCACGGATTGTGTGGTTGGATAAAACAAACGCATACATCACTTTTCATTGCACACAAAGAACTAAATCATAATTATTTTATTTTATTCCAGGTTGTGATGAGTCCACCGTAGAAAAGACAGTCAGAGGCAGACGTCCAGGCACCTGTTGTTACTGCTGCTGCTGTTGCATGTCTTCAGAAAATGAGAGATGTGTTCTAACTATCCATGACTTGTAATTAATAAAACAAATGAACATATTGGTCGTTGTAGTTTATATCGTAATCCACAGGAGCTGGAGGTGATGGAAATGGATGAAAAAATGATGCCTCTGGAAGACAGCTGCCTCTGGGAAAGAAATTCACACAAAAAATTATTAATTAAATCGGTTCTTCTGGGATTAAAATGAGCCTTTTGTTACAATCAGACATGTGGACATATATGTTCATATACATGTACTGTCCCAGTCAAATTAAAACAAATACACAGTAGTAGAGTAGAAACAGGCGCTCTGAGGAGGAGCAGAAGTACGATGCCTTTACAAACACACACATGAACTTAACAGGTCATATCAACAGTAAATGTAAATACATTGCCAGTATTAGAGTGGGATTGACAAATATACTCAATTAAAACCATATCTATCAGTCTGATTCCACTCTGTAGCATTAATATTGAATCCATGGGTTTGTTTTCTCCCTAAAGAACCGATCCTTCATTCCGTCCTTCAGATAGAATAATTATCGTGCTCTGTCTCTAAACAGTCAGCAGGTTTCGTCCTTGTTGCACTGCTAGAATAATATACACATTGAAATTGGGAACATAGTACATATGTCACACAAGAACCTCAAACCCCCATGTACTTGGCTTTCCTGCGGTTCATTTTAGCTTAGCATTAGCAAAGATCAGCTTTGAAGCCACCTACGCGGAGCTAGCTAATGATAAGCTAAGGGAAAAACATGTTCAGAAAGTACAAACAGTAGTGGTTTGTGTGTTACATACCAACTAATGATGAGAAAACACACTTACTGGTTTGCTGTGGACGCCATGTTCAGATGAACAAGTCAGTCATGTTCTGGCCCATGGCTATGTAACAGTAATTAAAACTAGAAACTTGCAATGGCTGAAGCCATTGCGATTGACTGCGGAACAGATCTAATGTGGAAATCTGCTAAAAAAAAATCCTTGAAATCCTTTAAAAGGCCTTGAAACTGTTAAAATACTTGATAGATATTTGAAACTCCTGAAGTCCTTGAAATTGTTGAAACCTTTAAACTCCTGAAATCCTTGAAACTGTTGAAACATTGAAACTCCTGAAATCCTTGAAACTTTTTTTAAACCTGGAAACTGTTGAAAGTGTGGAAACTCCTGAAATCCTTGAACCTCCTGATATCCTTGAAACTGGTTAAATTCTTAAACAGTTGAAATCCTTGAAACTACTGAATGTATTGAAAGTGTCCTTGAAACTGAAAAATCCCCTCACCGCTGAAACAATTTGGTTCCTGTAACTAAGGAAACCTGGTCTGTGGTCATTATCTGGTGGTGGTCTGAGTCTTCGTTTGGGTCTTGGTCTGGTGGTATAATGCAACCTATTAGGTTGCATTATACTGGTTTACATGGAAAAATCCCTATTAGGTTGCATTATACTGGTTTACATGGAAAAATCCCTATTAGGTTGCATTATACTGGTTTACATGGAAAAATCCCTATTAAGTTGCATTATACTGGTTTACATGGAAAAATCTCTATTAAGTTGCATTATACTGGTTTACATGGAAAAATCCCTATTAGGTTGCATTATACTGGTTTACATGTACAAATCCCTATTAAGTTGCTTTATACTGGTTTACATGTAAAAACCCCTATTAGGTTACATTATAGTGGTTTACATGTAAAAATCCTTATTAAGTTGCATTATACTGGTTTACATGTAAAAACCCCTATTAAGTTCCATTATACTGGTTTACATGTAAAAACCCCTATTAAGTTCCATTATACTGGTTTACATGTAAAAACCCTATTAAGTTGCATTATACTGGTTTACATGGAAAAATCCCTATTAAGTTGCATAATACTGGTTTACATGGAAAAATCCCCATTAAGTTGCATTATACTGGTTTACATGAAAAAAACCCTATTAAGTTGCATTATACTGGTTTACAAGGAAAAATCCCTATTAGGTTGCATGATTACACTGAAGTCCTTGAAACTGCTGAAGTCCTTGAAACTGCTGAAGTCCTTGAAACTGCTGAAGTCCTTGAAACTGCTGAAGTCCTTGAAACTCTTGAAGTCCTTGAAACTCTTGAAGTCCTTGAAACTCTTGAAGTCCTTGAAACTCTTGAAATCTTGAAACTGCTGAAATCCTTGAAACTGTTGAATCATTGAAACTGTAGAAATGTCTGAAAGAGCTGAAGTCCTATTAAAATGCATGGGCCTATTAAAATGCATTGCAGAATTCTCAATGCAGATTTTTGTCCGATTGCGGAAAAACCGGAAATCGCTGAAGTCCCAAAAGTAATAGCAATAATCTCCCAAACATGTGGAACGTTTTGATGTATAACTTGTGGAAATTGTTGAAAATGTGAAAGCTGTGAAACGTGTCAAAAAAAATGACGGAATAAAGAAATACAAAACCAATGGTTGACTGCGGAAGGTTCCGCAGTCAATCAATAATATAGTGTTAGGGATAGTTAATGCAATGGTGGAAATATGACTGACAGAAACTGAAAACTAGATTCGGTATGAGAGCTTGTGGGAATGAAGACACGGAAAAAAGTATAACTGTATAAATAATAATTTGTATTGACAAAAATGTTGTAGACAGACAAAAAAAATAACTAGAAACTTGCAATGGCTGAAGCCATTGCGATTGACTGCGGAACAGATCTAATGTGGAAATCTGCTAAAAAAAATCCTTGAAATCCTTTAAAAAGCCTTGAAACTGTTAAAATACTTGATAGATATTTGAAACTCCTGAAGTCCTTGAAATTGTTGAAACCTTTAAACTCCTGAAATCCTTGAAACTGTTGAAACATTGAAACTCCTGAAATCCTTGAAACTTTTTTAAACCTGGAAACTGTTGAAAGTGTGGAAACTCCTGAAATCCTTGAACCTCCTGATATCCTTGAAACTGGTTAAATTCTTAAACAGCTGAAATC